CTCTGCACGTCAATGGGTAGATTGATTCATATTCAAAATCTTATGGACCTTACATATATTGAAGTTGATATTTGACCAAAAAAAAAAAAAAATCTTATGGACCTTGAAAAGTAAAATATACGAAACTATATAGAGTTAAAAAATAGTATAAATATTATTTAATTTTTATTTTTAAATAATAAAATTATTATTCAAGAAGTTGAATGTAATATTATGAACTTAAAAAAAGAACTATTGTCGACTACCTCTATTTATTTTCAAAGTTTTAATTGTATCCATGTCTAATATTTCATTTCTTCGCCTTTACTTTTTCTCCTTTTCCTGAAAAAAGTTTCTATCAATTACAATGATAACTAGAATTAAGTTTAAACAAAAATCATAAAGTCGTACTGTATTCGATCCAACAGCTATAAAATATAAGATTAATTTTATAAATTTATTAATATATATACATACATATATATTATTTAATTGTATATACATGGGTTTGGGTAGAGTATGGTATGAGTTTGAATTTGAATATGGATTATAAGAAACTAAACCCTACCCCAAATCCATGACTCTTTTACCAAATTTGGGTCTGGGTAGAGTTTGGGTCTAAGAAATTAAATCCAAATCCTTTCCAAATATATTGGGCGTGAATTAGATTTGAGTACGATTCAAACCATCGACATGACTATTCTATGCTATCAAACATTTGGGATAATATGAAAAACCTCCCCTGAGATTTCTCTCAATATCACTTAGCATTCCTAAAGTTTAAAAATATCACTTATCTCCATTACTTTTGTTACTTATGTAACAAAATTTTAAAAAACCCTAGGCTATCCTTTTGCTTATTTTACTGAATAAAAATACTTTTAAACCATTTTGTTTACTCCAAAAAATATCACAACTTAAAAACCAATCTCTAATAGCACTACCACATCACAAAGCTATAGTCCATAAAAATATAAATTTGAAAAACAAAAAAGATATTTGAAAAGAAATACACTAGCACCAATTCAATTTTACATGCTCAAAATCAGTTTCTTATGAACCTTCTTGTTTTTTCCAACACTTCTCAACATGTGGTATAAACCTTTAAGTTGTACTAAATTATTTTAAAAATTTATGTGAATTATTATGTATCTAATAAGGGTTAATATAGTCTTTTTGTAGTTACTAGAAAAATTAAGTGATATTTTTAAAATGTTAAAAGTGCTAAGTGACATTAGAAGAACCTCAGAAAGAGGTTTCTAATATTATCCATTAAGCATGTTTAGCAAACTCTGTGGCGGACAACAAAAGACTGATTTTTAACCAATGCATGGCATATGGTTCTTTATAACTAGCAAAGCTTTCGTTTGTTTCGTGCCTTATGCAGCGTCCAAAACTCTACTGTTACGATTAGCTTCTAGACTTTGGTGGCCTCTCAAATAATTTAGTCAAACACTACAAGGATTTTGCAATCCAGTTTAGTTATAAAAAAAAACAACTAAAAATCATATAATATGTCTATGCATGTTGTTGCCATAGACACAACAATGGGAACAGTTAAAATCTAAGAAGTAGATCGTCTTTTATTTTCACCTTCAACGTTGCACGAATGATCCTTTTATTTTAAGCGTAACGGGTCTTCTGTCCCATATGCCACTTTCTATCCCCTTTTTATTATATTGCTATTTCTCCAACATAAACATCACGTTTTAGTTCTTTTTTGTTTCCTTAAGATCCAATAACTATTAATTGAGTAATACACAAAATTTAACAAACTCAAAAAATCAAAATGCATAAAAAATGAGATTTTTTATGAATTTTTTACTATATTTTTAAATTTTCTATTATATATTACTTATTTAATTAATAGTTATTGGATCTTAACAAAATAAAAAAGAACTAAAATATGATGTTTATATAGGAGAAATAGTAATATAATAAAAAGTAAAATAGAGAATGACATAGGGTGTGGGACAGAAGATCCGCCGCGCGTTTGCAGGTCGTTAAATTTCTTGATGGAAAAGGGTGGAGTCCAAGGAGGAAACCGAACCGAACAACTTCTTTTCCAAAAACAAAAGAATTTGCATAGCGACCGAGGCAGATTTCTACTCGTGCTGAATCAGTGGAAATTAACTGATTTCTGTGAATATAGGATAAATCAGCCAGGGAAGGTACAGATCTAGGTAGGTAGCAAAAACTGCGTACCACGTTTGCCAGAATTGCTCACATGTACAGGTAAATAAATAAATCAGGATGGTAAAGAAGCCTGCTTAATAAGTACGTACTTTGTATGAACATGAAGAAGAAAGACTAGTGCTGCTATTATTTAAACGAAGCACTGAATCAAAGAATTTAAAGGGATGCAGGAAATGAAATGGGAATGGAGGTTTCAAGTTTCAACCCCGCCTTTCAGGTTCAGCTTCAGAAAGCTTGGACTTAGGTTTGGCAAGAACTCCCTTAAACTTCCGCCCAACTGATTTAGGTATTAGCATGATCACAGCAGATGCTGAGCGGCTGCGAATGTAAACTGGATCAGCATCCGCTGCACCTGACGAGGACGCCACTATTGATGGACATCCTACGCTGTAACTATGCCTTAGCCCGCTATGATCCCTCTTCCCTTGTTCATCCATTTCTGCTATGAGTTCTCTGTCGTCCCAAACGGTACCTGAAGACCCTTCTCTCCTGAATGATATTGTAGACCTTTGCAGAGCCGCCATCATCCCAATAATACTGCCGCTGTTCTTTGCAAAGCTCTTTTTTTTTTTGTTCTGGGAGAAGACTCTCTGCCAAGTTACTTGTCTACTTTTGTCTCAGTACACTGATATATATATACACATCTATATACACAAGTGATGAATGGCAAGGAAAGTCTTTTGTTATCGTTTGAAAGGGACAAAAAAAGAAGAAAGAATGGCAAGGAAAGTCAGTGCGAAAAAACAATTGAAGCGGTCATTCAAGGGAATCTGATCAATTCTTGTTTACTCGTACAGTATTTTCCACATCTTCAAGGTCCTACCTGCGACCAGACTACGGAGTACGCACACCAAAAAATAAATAATAATACTACTGTTTTAAATTTTTTTTTTTTCTCTGGGAACTTTTCAGCAAAGCAAACACTAAAATTTTTTTCTCCTTTTGTCTTTATGATCCCATCCTCTGCCTATTGCAACCATACACTGCATCAATATTTCAGAGCTGATTGATTAAGTAGTATCAGGGGCAAAGGAAAATTTTCCAAGCTCTTCTGTTACTAGTTAAAACCCAGGATCAGAGTCTCCGGCCTTGTGTGTACTTTATGCAAATCGTCGCCTATTTTTCTTACTAGTTTCTTTCTTACGAAGTTTCTGCTTTTGGACTCGCATGCCAGCAGCTTGGCACCACAAATTGGTAGATATGTGGAACTTTTAACATCGGTCTTATGTCAAAAAAAAAAGTACTGACTAGGGACTAGTTTACTTCGACCTCAGAAATTCTGCTTTCCGTGGAATAGATATTTTTTTTTTGGGATAATTTCACAAATCTCCCTTGAAGCTTATCTTAATATCGCTTAGCATCCTCGTGATTTCAAGAATTTCTCTTACCTCTCCTTGATTGACATGTTTTATAACATTGTCACCTCTTGTGCGTTAAAAATTTAATACAAGAGGAAAGATAACAATTTACTTCCATTTGTATCCTTTTGTCGTCCTTATGTAAATATCAGAGCAACAATTAAGACCTAAATAAACTTCGTAGGTGAAAGACAAATTGGGAGAGATGTAAGTATAATAAAGAGGAGTTGGAGCAATTAAGTGGTTTTACAATTGGGCAATGACTAGCACGAGTTTAGTGGCAAAAGGAGCAATTTGAAGAACCAATTAGTAGAAGATATTGTAGCAAATCATAACGAGTTCGAACATTAGAAAACATTCTTATAATTCACCAATATTATTTAACATAAAGAATCAATATGGTTACGATATGAAGGCGACAATCAAGATTTCAAGAAACGAAAGAAATTCTATATATATAATGAGTAGAAAGTTTTGAATTCAGAATCTCTTAATTACAATCCCTCGTACCTTATAACCTAATCAAACTGTATTCGCTGCTAATGTCCGTTTAATATGCTTCTGATGTGTTAAATAATAATAGTGCCAAAAGTACTTGACCTTTTATTTGTTATAGCAAAAAAAAAATATATATATATCATTATATATGCCAATTTTGTTAATTATTGTTTTGACTTTTTTGCTTTCCAAATTCTTTTTTTTTTTTTTTGTGTGGGAATTTTAGTCAATCAATTAGGAGAATCCGGTAAGGTAATATTGACAGGGGTCGAGCCTGTGCAATAATAAATACCTGCTCAAACAAAATATAATTTCTGTAGATAGTGATAAGCAGGGTCGAATCCACAGGGACTGGGGATAATTCGTTTCTTCTAGAGTTCAAAGTATGGGGGGATTTTTGGATTAAATGCTAACTAAATAAATTAAATGCAGAAAATAAATAAAAGAAATAATTATTGGAGAAACTCTAGCCAAGGGTGTACGTCAGAAATGGTTCATGCAACTGATCATTGATTCATGGATAATTCCAACATTTACTAATAGATTGGTTATAGTTGTCTCGCACGCGCTAAACAACCAACCCTTCCGTAATTTATCGATAGCTAAGGTACGACCGTTAGCTATTTCTCTAACCCAAAAACAACCCTAGGTACGACCGTAGGATTCAATTTCCAGATTGCATTAATAATTAGAAAGGCCCAATCCTAACCAATAAACACGCTACGAGGGTTTATTTAAATTAGATCGTATGTTTCTCTGACATAAACCCAATTACGCCAGTTGCTACTGGGATAGAGGTAACGAACAATTACGGATTCAGTTACCTCTATTTAGCAAAATAGCCTACATGAATAATCAATTATTGCGCACTAATCAATCATCCACACGAGGTATAACGGTTAAAAGCAGGAAACATATGAATACCAATAAATGGAGGAAGCAATTAAAATAAATTAGATCTCACAGAAATTGTTGAACCAAATCTTCAGTTGTGCCCCTTGACTAGAATTAGAAGATTAGTTCTCCATTGAGAGTAACTCACGCAATTCCATTGAAGGAAATTGCGTTAATATTTTACAATAGAGGAACTACTCTGCGGACCAGAGCCAAGCGGCTGCGTTGTTTTTTTTCTTATTCCCTTCGCTCCCTAGTTATCACGTGAAATCCCTGGCTAAGTAGTAATCCCGCGGGATCCGTCCTTTCTCCCCCTTCAAACTTCAAAGTCGGCTGGCCTTTTGTAGCCTTCTCTCCCTTCAATTTCGGTCAAAGCAATATTGGAAGACAATTGCAATGGTCCCCACTTTTCCAAGGTCAGCAACCGTGGCTTTTTCCTTAGTTTCCTAATGGAAAAATACTACCAAATAGAACTAGTTTCCTAAATAGCAAAATAAACCACAAAAGAAAGTATTTCAAGTTTCCTAATTCAACAATAAGACTAGTAATTAGAATTCAAGTCTTCCAAATCTTCCTCTCAAGCTGCCCAGAGTTTGAATCGAACTTGGAAATCGATCCCGAACGTGCTACCATCAAATTAATTGGAAGATTGCCCCTTTTTGTCACGTTTTGCTCTTTTTCCTACAATTTAGCACCATTAACCAAATATAAGTAGAATCCATCAATTAACGCAATATTTGGCTGAAATCAAGGGAAGAATAATTATAGATTTAGCGACAAATAATGACCTATCAAATATTATTGTCAATTTACCACCCATAATGGAGACATCCTGTATCGTCAATCTAATCGAGGAGGTAAGAGATATTTTTGAAACTACGAAAGTGTTAAGTGATATTAAGGCAAACCTCCGAGGAGGTTTGTGAAAATTATCGCATCTTGTATTTCGGTTCAAGTAGACCAAGACCGATCTTATTCTTTTGAATACTTCTTCTTGGTTGACGCCTTGAGAACAACTCATACGGTCAACCTCACAACTTTTGAATACATGTTCTTATTTGGGCTGCAGCAGACCAAGACTGTACCTATTCTTTTGAACTTTTCTTCTTGATTTCCTGCAAACAAAAAAAGAAAAGAAAAGAAAAAGCTTTTCCTCTTGGTTGATGTCATTTCCCCTCGATCATAATTCACAAGTCATATGCTGCACGAACGCAATAGTATAAAATTACCAGTAGTCAGCAAGAAGACATCCCAAATGACTGCACCTTCACCTGTTCATATGGTCCTCAGTGTGGTTAAAACAAGGTCATAAATTCTTTAAGAACACCGGCTTCTGCCAAGTTTGACTAGCTATATAAAATGACCAGTACTCAGCAAGAAGACGTCCCAAATGACTGCAACTTCACCTATTTATATTCTCCTCCTTGTGGTCTAAAAATCTTAAAAAAAAAAAAAACCAGCTTCTCCCAAGTTTGACTAGCTCTATAACAGCAACATACTGCATGCCACGTAACAGCCAAGAAAAATTATAATGAGGAGCATACAGTTTTTCTTCACATAAAGAGTAAGCTACCATGTGAATTATGCAGCGTGTGGAGCTTTCCAATAGGTGTATTTACATGGAAAACTGAAAAGAGCATCTGTTATGTAAAAGTAGAAGCAGAACGTTCATAAGGAAGGCGGTGTTCAGGAATCCCATCTTCAGCTCGTTTGTCCTCGAACCATTTCACCACCCTTTTCTTAGGCAGGTTTGTCAGATGCACAATGTTGCTGATCATGGCATTCTGAACATGTTTTAGAACAGTTAGATTCCAGATTATGATAAGATAGCATCATAAGAAAGTGTTTTCTGAAGAATTTTCATGTAAATTGCATAAATATTGGAGGAATTGTATCTGAAGCCATATAACTTTGATGGGATTATTATTACTAGTTAGCGGGGGATGTGGAAAATAGATCCACAATAATATAATATGACTGCAGTAACAAATCAAATTTTTAATCACAGCACACCACATATATTATTTGAAATGTCAAATTATTATTCCGAATTACCTAATTACAAGATATTAACCGCACCTGCCAGATAATGCGGGCATGCTGGAAAATTCAACAGAATCCAGATTTCACAAAGAAACAAAAAATTGTCTCATGGTGGATTGAAGACCCTCTACAGGTTTTACTCCTAGAATGTCTAAAAAGTATTAGGTGACTTGTTGAACCTACAGCTCAAGTTTCTCTTCTTGAGCTTGCTATCAGCTGCTTACGGGCTTTGTTTCAAGTTTTAAGTAGAAACAATATTCGTTTATTGTTCTCGCATCTATTTTCTTTCCTAAACTTCAGCAACCAAATAGTTGCATTGAAGTTTTAGAATCCTAATGTGGCATATCAGGCCTAATGCAAGTCAAATTCTATTAATTATAAACCATCAAACCTGAACTTCTGGATGTACTTGTTTATTCTCAACATACCCAAATTACCCCAGTTTGTGTCTAATATTTTCTAGAAACCAGAAGCAATGAACCTTTACACACTATCTTAACATTTCAGCATCATATCAGCACAAAGAAATTGCATATTTGACCACTGCTATAAACCCCATCGACGATCGAGTTTTTCCTTTTTCTTAGCCAGAATTGCATCAACTACACAAATAAGCCAATTCCAATAATTTTAGATCCCTAAAGTTTAGGATTTTCTTTGGACCTTGTAAAGGCATTAACTTGACAATTCTAAAGCCTGCATGTTTTATTCCATATATTTGCTAGTTTACCTAACCAGCATTTCCTTCTTCAGATTAGTTCTGCCAATAAATATTCCCACATTTTCACAAAAGGAAGTCTGATTCTAATGCAAAAGCATGTAATGGACTAAATTTGTTTGATGTCACATAAGCACTCATTCTAGCATACTCACCGAGGGACGCTTTGTTCGGTTATATACACGTTCAAGAGTATCAAGTTGAGCTTTTTTAATTCTCTTTTTAGCAGACCAGTTGCTTTGCATCACATGAACCGGCACTTTCACCTCAGCCTCAGCCTTCGTGGTTACTGGTGTCATCTCCAAAGGACTTGCTTCTTTCAGTTTGTTTACTGGCTCTACTACTGTTGAAACAGGTTTATCAGGCAAAGCAGCACTCATCATCAGAAGATCTGGAGGAGGATCACGAAGCAGTTCAAGGACAACAGCTCTATCAAGACATAAATCAGCTGCGAGACTTTTAATCTGCCAGCCAAGAATAGACAAGTATTAGAGACTTAGAAATGGGCCAGGCATGATGACTGACTGCTCCATTCCACTTTATTATTGTTTTCCATGGACACCTTACACTCACACCATCATGTTACTTTGCTTCAAGATCAAAATAATCATGCTTTCTTTTGAAAAGGGAAGGGGAAAGTCCACGGCATTAACTTTAAACATGATAAAAGTTATTTTTGCTATACCAGAAGTGGTTGGCAGAAATGGCAGAGGGTTCTATCAGATCAAGATCCAGGTAGAAGTCAACGGGTTGAAAAATGGTGTACTAAGACGTAAATTCATGGATTTTATCTTAACCCAACCAAAATTTGCTCAATTAGTGGTTAAAGCTGCAATTGCAAACATTCTGAAGTACAACTTACATTGGTCTTACGCCGACCATTTTTTAAAGCATAAGCCAGTCTCTTAAGCTGCCAATTTTTTAATTTCACTGGCATTTCTTCATCGTTATCATCTTCTTCAAGATCCTCGACATGATAATTAGCAGTATTATCGTCCTCATTTTCTTCTTCTTTCTCGTCTTCATCAGATTCATCCTCTGTTTTGCCATCCCCAACCAAGTCCAGAGCCCCACAAAGTTCATCATCCTTCAGTGCCTCTTCTAATTCACGTTCAAGCTTTGCAAGGTCCTCTTCACTTATTTCATCATCATCATCACCATTTTCTGAAGATAGATTATCATTTTTCAAGTCTTCTTCCAGCTGGCGAAAGAGGGCCTCAAAGGCATCATCATCTTCATCTTCTTGAGTACTTTTACTGCCGAAAGTTTGCTCCTGGAAACAAAAAGCAGAAGAAAAATTGTAAATTTTTCCAATCATCACTCCTACAAGTTGATTATGATTTGTACAGCTAAATTAATTTAGGGAATGGAAAATACTTTTGAAACTGCTCACAAGGAATGGAAAAGCAATTGTCAGATGATGAAGCTAGTATCCTCACACGTATAGTGAGCAATTCAGAAAAGCAAAGCCTTCTAAAGAAATAAACTTGCCATGTTAATGCATTCATATGAGCATCACATTCACAAATGAAAGATGAACTAAGCTACTTGATACTCTAATCTAAGTAAGAGCTCGTTCAAATTGGTTTATCAACTAAATAAACCAAGCCCCTAATCTTGGTTCTTTAAGCTCAGCTCACTAAACAAGATACTTGAAACTACATACAAATAAAGCAAACCTCAACAAACTTGGCTCACATAATAACGAAGGCGAGCTTAAACAAAGATTTATGCTCATCAACCACATCAAATCAAACATGAACACAACGCCTTTGGAGAAGCTAGGCTCCTTTACATCCCTAATCAGCATTCCACAATCCCATATCAGTTTAAGCATCTAGCTAGCTGAAGTTGGGTTCCTTTAACTTCTACGCTTGTCTACAAATATTCAGGGTAAGATTGTTATCGTAAAGTCTCTATGCCACTAACAATTCTTCTTCTTCTTCTTCTTCTTTTTGACACTGCCATTTTTAGTGCAAAAACTTTTCTTGGTAACGCAAATGCTGCTACGAATATGCCACTGGGCATTAAGAAAAGTATTCCTTCTTCAAAATTACCAGTATTCTTGAGCATCAGATATTTCGAGGACAGCACAATTGAAGGATGTTTCATTCAGAGGCACATGTGGACACACAGTGTCACAGCTACACTGATAATCAACATAATTGCTTCCAAGGCCAGTCACAATCCAATAAATTCAAACAAAACCCACGAATTTATCAACAAAATTCTGAGTCATAAGCATGGAAAAAGTGAAAAAAAAAACTAAAAATTAGACCTTTATCTTTTGCTTCTTAGACTTGACAGGGGAGCTGGAGGCCTGATGGCCTCCTCGGCGGCGGGCGAAAGTGAGGATTGAGGAGGAAGAGAAGGGTTGACGTGGCAGGATGAAACTGGTTCTAATGCTTTTTGTGTCGACAAACAAGGGTTTCTTGTTGAGACAGCAATGAGGTTTAAGAGCAACAAAAGAGGACATGTGAGGGAGCCATGCTGCAGTGGGAGCACCCATTTTCTTTTTTGCCAATCTTCTTTCTTCTTCTACAGTCTCAATAGTGTTTCTTTCTGCTACTACAAGTGTTTCTGGTGGTACTGTGGTAGTATATAAATGATCAAAAAGAGCCCCCTCACATTTCCAAAGAAATCCTTTTTAGTCCCTCATATATAGAATGGCACAAAACAGTCCCAAATAAATGTACCAGTACTATTAATTTGATTCCAGAACATTTTCAAACAAATTTCTACTTCCTCAAAAATAAAATAAAAAAATTCTCGCAAAAAAATGCAAATTCTAGTCACCTGATCAAACTTCAAGAATAAAAATAACATTTTTCTCAAAAAAATCCTCTCGCTACCTCTCCCCTTCTTCCTCAAGAAGTGGTGAAGTTTTTTGGAAGAGAATGCGTTCTTTGTTTAGATTGCACATTATTTATATTTTATTTATATATTTTGACTTATTTGCATCATTAAAATATTTTTTATTTCATATACATTACATTAAAAGAGTATTACAATATTTTTTTGAAAATTATTTCAAATAATCTCTTATCCAAACACACTATTCCTATCGTATTCCTATCATATCGTACTCCTGATCGTACTCAGTTGCCTTCTTTGGCTGGAAGTCAGATTAAATTTTTAGGACCAAATCGATATATTTGTGGTATATAAGGGACTATTTTGCATCTTTTATATATATATATATATATATACATACACCTAATGTACCAAAAGAAAATTATGTTTCTTTAAAAAATGCATTACCATACATAATGGATTTTTAGTCTTTCTCACAAGCAGCAAATATTTGTCTACAGATGGCCGGCTTTCATTTCACCTACTGAACCACGCCTTCACTGAATACTATAAGAAAACGTGCTAGGCATAATAATTGGACTAATAAGTTTGCAAACAAGCCCCAGCCCAGCGGAGCTGCTCCCTCGATCCCCTCCTCCCTCCTCTTCTCATCCCGTCAAATCCACAGCACCACCACTCACTATTAGTATATATATAAAAGAAAAACTGTAGAGAAAGCAGGCTGGTTTGGGCTGTAATTCTGTAAAGGAGAAGAAAACCCGTAACAAAAGTCAACAAATTCAACTGCAGAAAGAAAGAAAAGAAAACAGTGGGAGGTGGAGTAAGTGCAATGGCGGGGCGATCGAGCTCAACGTCCACATCCACATCCACATCATTATCGTCAGTATCTTATTCTTCATCTTCAAAGAGAGGAAGATGGAGCCATCTCTCAACCCACGCTGCTCGGTTTTATTTCCTCCTCATTTTTCTGCAAATCCCTCTTTTCAGGTTTCATTTTCCTGCAATCACTCTTCCGGCACCCTTTCCCGCGCAAAAGAATCGTGAGCGGTGGCCCATCTTCAAAAAATGGATAATAATTGAAATTCAGTAGTTTTAGGTTTCTTTTTGGCATCTGGGTTGGAGTTTTCTTTGGCTGGAGATGCATATTTGGTTGGATTTTTGAAGTTTTGACTTGCTCATGCTTTTTGGGAAGTGTTTCTAGTTGGTTAAGTCATTTTCCTTTGGTGCAATGCAATTATATCACAGATTTTTTTGGCCGTCTGGTCTTATGATCTGTATTTGAAAATGGAACTTTATTTGATTGTATGCTAATTGTTGTCCGCTCCATGACTGTTAAATTTAGCAGCATTGACGTTAAAAAAAAAAAAAAAAAAGAGTTGGGCAGCTGAAAATTTTAGGTTCTTTACCTCTCTACAATTGTTGGCTGTTTCTTTGATCTTGGTTGGTGGTTTTTGATCGCTGAGGCTTGGATATTTTTTCACATTACTCTTAAACGGTGAAATATTTTTATCATTTTCTTTTCCCCATTTTTAAATGTTTGATGTGTATATTACCATGAAGAAAGAGAGAGAGTTGAAAGTTGTTCACTAATGAAAGCAAATAGGAGGTGGTGGCTCTGCTGTAGTTCATTGTACATGATAGAGGAAATAGACACTGGCCTCTAGATCGGTTGTTTCCGACTGAATTTGCTGTGAGAATATTGCCTACCTGGCTCCTTTCAATTTTTCTCATTTTACGTGTTATTTCTTTCAGCATTCCTTTTCATTTCCAACTGTTTATTGCCTATTTCATTTATTATTTTGAAAAGTGAAAGCTACCAAGTTTTCCTAGCTAGTATTAAAGGAATAACCAATATTTAGGGATTATTTTGGGGCAAAATGCGAAACTCTAAATGCAGCCAAGTTGTTGGCTGTGCAAATTAATCATTTGATTTTTCTCCCTTTCCCTCTGCTGTTTTTTGGTCAGGGTTCCATGTAGATCTGGGCTGTGTACAACACCACTACAGGTCACGTCCTGCCAGTTGATATCTAGTGAAATCTTTCCCCTTCCCGTAGTGAAGGCCCTACTCTACCCTGGTGCTGTTTTGGATGGTTTGATCAGTAACCAGACTGTTCCAAGCTGGGACAATATTCTGAATATTTATAACTTGACTGGAGTGAAGGAGGCTTCTGCTGTAACTGACTTGCAACGATTGGAGGTTCGGCTCACTAACTTCTTCTATCTGTATTAGTTATGGTGTCTGAATAATGTTTAGCAAGTCATATCAATCTGTTTTGTAAAATTGTGGTGTTGATGTTCAGTCCTTTTTGCCTGAGTTTCTTTATTGTGTTAGAGTCCTTTGCCGAAGATCTTAGTAGGTATTTACAGGTGTAATGATGAATAAAAAATGAAGCTTTCTTAAATTCCAATTGCAACCTATGTTAACTAGTTTCTGCAAATTTCTGTTTCTCTGATTCTCAGGGGTTGTTTTTGGCCATAAGGTCATTGTTGATTTGCTGACAGTGTTGAAAGTTCAGAGAGCTAAATTTTGGTGGTGTGTTGTTCAACTGTTACAGTTTTAACTTAATATGAAAACTATTGCCGTTTTCACATGTTCTACTTTCATCTTGATCAACTTGCCAATAAACAGAGCAGGGAAGGAAGGAAAGAAAACATAACTTCTTTTCACCAGAATGTTCTGAATAGTTTGTTTGAAACAGTTTCACTCTTTTATTAGCAGAGATACTTTTGGAATAACTGAACAGTTTGATACTTTGTAGTATGACCGAATGGATTGATTTCAATCAATCATCGAAATTTTGACCAATGTCTATTGTGCTGGTAGTAATTAGTTTTTACCATAATCTGATCTTTTAATGAATAGTCTGCAACTGGCCAAGCAAATGAAAGAAAAAATTGAGCTGTCCTAAATCCCTTAGAAGCACTTGGAATTCAGGTTTAGTGGCCTGAACAACTTTTGCAGACTTGATTTTCCTTTTTGGAGAAAATTCCTGCACAGCGTGTGAGTTGATGTTTGTGCACTGATTCATATATATATATATATAGTGCAAATTATTCTGAGTTTGAGTCTTTGGAAAATTTCATCTAATGAGCGTTTGCCCTCCTGTTGTCAATCTTATATATTTAATTTGCACCAGGTTCTTGCTGGAAGCTACTTCTCTGTGGCCGGAGGACTTATTGGCATTATTAGACCTGGGAGAATGAGCATGTTTGGAACCCTTCTTGTTATCTGGGGCCTAGTCAAAGAAGGGATTCTTAAGAAGCCAGTGAACACCGACCCTACAAGTGCAAATCAAGTATTTGTCTACCCAACAATGTTGATAGCCCTGATTTGTGCCTTCCTGTCTGTTAAGTATGATGTAAAGAAGGTTATGCGAAGCACTCCAAGTCGACCAGTTGCAAAGCCTCTGCAGAGCTCTGTCAAGTCAAAGTTGAAGTGAGTTACGTTATAGTACTGCTGACGAAAAATGAATTTCACCATTTCCTTTTCCTTAACTAGTTCTCAGACAAATTCTGCTACCACTGGGGTTAATTACCTTTTGGATGAAACTCATCGAAGCTGCAAATTCTCTACTTCACAAGCAAAGTTTGTCGGTGAATGAACTGAGCTGTTTCTTTTTTTGCATTAGGAGAATTGAGTATGAATGTTTTGAAGCTGCTTATTTTATAAACGTCATCTCCAGACGGCTTGCGCATTCGATTTTATTTTTCTGCCTGTTCTTGGTACAGATAGTAACTAGTGCTACGTAGCAAATGGTTTCGCTGTGATTTGCCTTTCTGGATGGAAGAAAGATGGGATTTGGTGGTGGCACCAACTGGGGTTTCCCCCATTGCTGGAGGTAGCTATGGAGATGATAATTCAAGAAATGACAAAGAAAACAAACACGAACAGTAGAAAAGCCTGTGTAGCTAGTTTAATCTTGTAAATGAAACAGCTCTTAAATCCACTCATCAAACATATCCTTTGGCCAAAACTTGCACGAAGAAACCAGGCCGAATTTCCCCAAATTGATGAAAAAAGGTAATGAGTTATAGATGCAGTCAAGTCTAATTACAATAATATGTTTACTTTTACACTGGAATCTACATAAACTAGTTTTGAATGTTGACTTTGACATAAACAAGTTTATACTCGCAGATAGAGGCCAAACTGATAGAGTCAAACCTTAGATTTAAGTATAGTTTTAAGGCAAAGTGGCATGTGAGATAAAAAGTTGATGAAACATAAAAATGAGGTTGAAATTAATGTGTGTACGGAATTATAGAGAAAATTTCCCAAACAATATGCTTTCAGATTGAAAGTTAATGAGCTGGGAAATTTCCTGACTCAATGGTGAATATTTTGCCACATAATCCTCTTCAAGAAACTCTTATTGAATTGCAGGTTACATTTAAAGCATCCGAGGCTATCCCGTATCACCAGTTTGCATTAGTTACTGCCCTTGTCCCAACAGAATATGGATATTATGATTGTTCTCATTCCCAGAATCAACTCCTGCAGCAATAAAAAGCTCCTTTCCCAATTCTTAAATCATCTTTTTGACAACACCTGTGAGGCTACATCATTAACTGCATCTCCTAATCAAGTCCATTGGGAAGGTAATTAATGCCATGAAGTAAGAATGTATTCCCTTTGTATGTAACTGTCCTGCTCTCAGCTCCAATACACCATAAATGGCCTTGCAGCTTCAAATCTCCTTTCATCCCTGCCGTCTCCCACACAAACTTAAACAGCCCAAGAGCCCTGTCAAGCTGCTTCACGCCACCCCAAACCATATTTTCCTCATTGGAAGTCAAAATTTTCCCCATAAACGAGCAAAACTGGTTTTGACCTTCAATAGGGTAACACCCTCCTCTAACTTCTACTTCAATATCTAGCACGCTTCCGTACAGATAATACAATAGAAGTGTAAATAGGCATCGAGATGGATGACCCAATGTCTTGGTTAGTTTCTTCCGCACTAGGCTTTCTTGATGCCGACTTTCTTTGTACCCAATACTCTTATCTATCAAAATATCCCTGATTTGATAAAGACCTTCCTTCATCGACTCAAGCTTTTTCACATGTAAAACAAATTCCTCCTGATCATTCAAGCAATTAACAAGATCAATGACCATCTCCAGGACATCTTCCCATTTGTGGTGATCGCTCGACTTTGCAACTTTTGTGGGAGCAATACGCATCCATGAAGTGGACTCAGGATCGTAAGAGATGGCAGCGGTTAAAAACTTCAGGCAACTGGCAACTATTTGCTGCGCCATTTTGATTTCCTTTCTTGGGCACTCCTGAATTCGATAATCAATCTCAGATCTCAACTCATTCAGTACCTCCTCCAATGCACCTGCCCATATCTGATGTTGAGTCACTTGTGGGCATACTGTAAGCCTCACCAACTTCCTTTGCTGAGCTGAAACATTCAAAATGTCTGAAATTTTGGTTAGGGAATTCAGAGTGAGTGGTCCTCTTTCACTTGATTTACCAAAGTACATAGGTAATGCACATTGTGGATCTCCAAATGTTTTCACCACATTCGTCCTCATTGTCTCCTGCATAGCTGGACAACCAATATAATCTCTTGCTAGCGACTTGAAAGCAAGCATCTTTTCTTCAAGTTTCCTATCAAACACTCTTGCATCCTCATTAACTTTAACCAGCCTGCCATCAATCAAGTCCACATGTTTTAATGACTGGGCTAATTTCTTTAGCCTCAGAAAGGTATTCTCATACCATTCAGCAGGAAAAAGCTCTTGCTCATGGGATTCTTCTGAGCAGCCATGGGACAAGAATCTCAGGTGCGTTATTCTGTTTTGCTTGGTTCTCAAAAACTTTGATGACTTGTATAGAAGGTTTTCTGCTTGCTTATAGGCCATCATAAAACCCGTGCAAAACTAATTCCCAAGTTCAAGATTCTTGTGGGCATTTTATCAAACAAGTGATGTGCACTTCCTGGACCAACGACAACAGCAGTGACATGGGACAAAGAAGCAATTGAATGGGGGCAGTAGTTAGCAAGTGTTTTCTACAATCAAGAAACGGATATTTGAAAGATTCATCAAACAGAACAAAACGTTGGATTGTGTATTTGGTATTTTTCGAACAAACAAGAGAGGGTTAGGCAGCAGGGTGAATGAAAATTCATCTTTATTTCTGATTGTTTTTTACAACATTTGAACAACAAAAAGATGAAGGTCAATGCGTTATTTGGCATAATTACGCCTTCAGGAGCTATGCTCCGTCGTTTTGTTCAGGATTTTCCCGTCCTTATATCCTGATATATGAATGCTTGTAATAATTGTCCGAAATTACGTATGAATTTTTCTAACCAGTGCTCATCAGATACTCCTTAAACACACACACACATGTATATACACACACAAATTTACACTAATCAATTTTATATTTCAAAAAATATGACACTTGAAATATATTTTAACAAATATTAGACAAGCCCAATAAATAGAACATGCATCGCATGATAAATTTTTTCTCATACCTCACTTCCAATGAAGGGTCATTTTTCTTAAACTTACAACATTCACAAGGTAAGTTGTTAATTCGAAAGTGTTGACCACTTTCCTATCACCAATACTGCATTCGAATCCTGCCGTAAATATAAGAACTGTATTCGAATCTTCCTATCACCAATACTATATTCGAATCTCGCAGTAAATGTAAGAACTGTATTCGAATACCGCCCGCCGTAAATGTAAAAACTGTATTCGAATCCCGCTGTGAATGTAAGAACTGTATTTGAATCCTGCTGTGAATGTAAGAATTGTGTCGATACAACCTTGAGGTGGAACCATTCTAAACTACAACATTTGGTGGATTTTTTAGACCCTATTCCTATAACCACGATTTGTTTGTTATGCCAGATTTGTTCCGTGGAGTAATGAATCAATTTGCGCTACAAGACAAAGAATTCGGAATAACCTGCTCTAGTTTCTTTTTGCAGTTCTCTTCAGACAAAAGAACACAAAATACTGCCAGACTGCCAATGATATAGCACAACTTTGGAAACATTCGTCCCATAAGCAAAAGAATGGGAACCTTAATAAGGATAACTTGGCGCAATTTTGTGAATTTGAACTATCATGTGAATGAATACTATCAGTTACAGGAATCGAACAAGGAACCAAAAATACAGGGTACGAGTTACAAAAAGTGGAGGGGGAAGACTAACACAAGATCCTGTGGCAACTACAAAAATTTACTTCTAAAGTTGGCCAACTAAAGCTTAATGATACACATTCCTCCCTTTTCTCCTTCCATTTACCATTTTTTTTCTTAGATTTTTTTTCCCCTTTTCTATTGGGCACAGCTGATCTACTTTTTCCATTTCTTCCCATTTACAAATGCAGTAAAAATTTTTCATTTGTACTTTTTTTTTCCTTTTTGATTGATTGATACCATGGGTTATGCTACGTGTCAAAAAACTTTCCTATACCTTCCTGACTTAGTATATCACAACCCTAAGGAGCCCAGGCTGCGGCTCAGAGTAATCAAGGCCTTCCTCCTCCAACAGGTACCGCTGAACAGCAATTGGAAGTCTAGCAGGCGTACGTGAACCCCTGGTGTGGTGGCCGGTTCCCACGCATATGTATACCTGCAGTCGTTGCTCAGCTGATCGGGCTGCGTTTCTCAAGATAGACAGCTCACGTTTAAGGATATGAAGAGCTTCAGTCACATGAAGCCCGTGCAGGTCTATTATCCTCTCTTGTCCCCTCCCGTCCGGATTACCTGGATTTCTGTACATTAAAGCAGACCGAATCAGAGATCAGATCCTCGTCATTGCCAGCTGTATCAGAATATATGAATAGAGAACTCAAACTAGCAGCAAAAAGCACCATCATCTTCATGGCCAGTCAGAAACCTATACACCTCCAGCGCTACCTTATAACAGAATCATAACCAGAAAATGGAACACATTCAAAGTGTGTGTGGAAAAAGATGGGTAAAACAGCACCTCGCTTACAGCTGTTTAATTAATGATGCATTCATGCATCCCTTTTTCCTACATACATGGTAGTGTCATCCCACTAAACCAGCAACTAACGCTGCCTCGTACATGGTAATAATGAAAAGCTTGTCCACTCAACAGATGGATAAATCCTTGGCCAAGATGGTGCTTAAGGTTTTTGGTATCATGGGTTCCCATTTTTATCCCCTCTTTTACATTCCGCAAACTTAAAATTATAGAAAACTTCAAGATGCAAGAAACATGACAAAATGGGTGCTATTGGGCTCTTCATGGTTTGCTAGCCATCACTAGGGGAAACCGTGTTAATTCAATTCCATTCAGACAGTTTAATTCAGCCACTAATCCTGCCTGGCCTGGTGTAGGTCGAGGCTAGCAAAAATTACAAAACATGATAAACAGACGCTAAGCATCTGCTCAAATTTGAGATCAGCATACATTAAGCAGCAGAGTCAGATAACAAACCTCTGACGGTAGATAGAATCTTGAGCTTTTCCATGAGCTGCCTTCATCTGCATGTTGTGGAGCTGCCCCTTTAAACTCAATTCTTTAGCTAATGCCTTGTTACCAACGAGGTATGCCTGTCTAGCCTACTCGTGCATACAGAAATTATAAAGGAAATCAATTAGCTCCAAAGAATACTGCAATTTGGTAAACAAAACTCGTACTTTCAAATAGAATTAACTGAACTGTTAGCCAGCAGTGACGATACTGGACATATTCCAAAAGATACCATTGACCATGTCAACCCTCATTCTATCATTTAGTCATCAAAAGGTGAGGCTTGCAAGCAATGATCGAATGAAGCTTCAACACTATAGACCATCATGCATGTATAGTTCACATTGATTTCAGCATGTTACGCTTCAAATATGTAGAACAGTTATCACTATTCACCTTTCAGCCATTGTAGCATCACCAACAGTAAGATTAGGTAATAAATCAACCTATACCTAACAACTATGTACAGCATAGAAACCTTTTGATTCCTTCTCTCAAAATGGGTTTCTTGCATTTCTTGTTCGCCCCTTGCAATGTAGAATGAAAACATAACCTTTACATAAAGAGACACTACCAACTGCTGTCAGTTTACAAGAGTACAACAAGAGCACAATATCAACCTCCTAGAAAATGTAAAGACCAACGAGTCAGGTTTCACGGCGAAAGGCAAACTCATGGTAAATATTTAGTTTGTCCCCCTTGCGGAAAGACAGAAACTTAATAGGAAAAGTTAATACATGCCAGCACCTAGTAGATCACTCAACTAGAAGGTGACAAAACATCCTTCTGACCAGGTGTATTGAGAAACCAAGCAGACAAAAGTCTTCAAATTCAAAACAATAAACCAATGTTTATATAGTTACATAATTCATCTTAAAAGTAAAGAAGCAGTCCTTGAACACTGCCAATTTTGAAAGAAATTGGGTTGTTCCTCCAGTCAAGGGCTGGGAAAAAGTTGATGGAGAAGAGAGGCCATACAGTAGATGCAACTACAGTTTCCCATTGGAAGCGATAAATTCTTGAGAGAGAGGGTCTAGAAGAGTCTTGTACTTGAATCTGAGCTTGCAATGTTGTTTGTGTTTGTTTATAAGAATGTCAGCAAACAAATACATAAGATGAATGTCACACTGTTAGTTCAGAGTATATCTGTTTAGATTGTCCTTCATCTTCGTTTCAGTAATTCTTACCTGTTCAAAGTATGCATTGCGGACACGTGCATGGTCACGAGCTTCCTCCCGCATTTCAGAATACATATTTGCTGCCATCTCAACAAAGTTAAAGCCTTATACAGGTGAAAAAGCTTTTCTCAGACAGCTAAAAAGTAAATTAAAATTGTTCCACAAAATTATTACCAACTGTTTCTCCAGTTTCAAGCCAGCTAGGAGCTGCACGAGCTGATCCCCGACTCTGTAACCTATCATTGTAAATCCCCCTTACCTGGCCAGTGTTGTATGAGCTTGCTAATACATGTGAACCTCTACTTGATCCAGCATTTGCATCTGCAGAACCATTTCTGTCATACTTCCATATGCCAGAATCTTGAGGTGTCATTTTCCTAACTGCTGCGGCAAAATCTATAGCTCCTCTAGAGGGAAAGGAAGACCCAGACTTGAACAAAAGTAAATTGTCTTTCTCAGAAGATCTATAAGGGCTGATGTTCTGTTGGAGATCATCACCAGCAAACTTTGTCATGCCATTTTGACCTTCTATTGTTGAAAGAGCAGGGAAATCCATTGCACTAAGATTTGGAGTTGACAAAGCTTTTGAATTTATACTTTGATTCAAACCACCATCCACTTGAAGCTACAAATAAGATAAATGGTACTGTAAAAACCTCACCATAAAATAACATCAGGAGATGTCATTTGTAACATAAATATATATGAAAGATGCCAGATATAAGAAAGCTAGTTCATTTGTGCATATATTACTGAGCCTAGTGAAATGTGTCTTCCAATCACATGTAGGCGGCATTCACTTTTCCAACCCAAAAAATGAGTGATCCCATATCATCAATCTTGAAGTAATAACACACTAACAAAAATATGAACCAGAATACCAGTTAGTAAGTAGACCTCCTATATATCATCAGAATTATGACTTGTCCTTAAATAAGATCGCATCCACAGCTCATGCTTTACAAAAGCTGTCATTCAACTATCAAACAAAAGCAGCACCTAGAATTCTAGATCAAAACTTCAATGATGATCGATCAGACATTATCTCCAATTCATGAGATTTTTAATTTTATTCTACATAACAAATCAAAAGCCAAAAAGAAGCATATCAGTGCAACCAGACATGCCACAGATACATATCCACAACAAATATTCTCACAAAGTGAGTAAAAATCTGTCAGAAAAAAGCATGAGAGAAAAGAGAAGATTGAGA